TAACTAACTAACTAACTAACTAACTAAATACATACATACATACATACATACATACATACATACATAAATACATAAATAAATACATAAATAAATACATAAATAAATACATAAATAAATACATAAATAAATACATAAATAAATACATAAATAAATACATAAATAAATACATAAATAAATACATAAATAAATACATAAATAAATACATAAATAAATACATAAATAAATACATAAATAAATACATAAATAAATACATAAATAAATACATAAATAAATACATAAATAAATACATAAATAAATACATAAATAAATACATAAATAAATACATAAATAAATACATAAATAAATACATAAATAAATACATAAATAAATACATAAATAAATACATAAATAAATACATAAATAAATACATAAATAAATACATAAATAAATACATAAATAAATACATAAATAAATACATAAATAAATACATAAATAAATACATAAATAAATACATAAATAAATACATAAATAAATACATAAATAAATACATAAATAAATACATAAATAAATACATAAATACATAAGTGTGTGTCCTGGCATGATCGAGAACAGATCCAGCTCCTCCTCTATATGACTACCCTTCAAGTATTTGAAAAGTGCTATCCTATCTCCCCTCAGTCTTCTTTTCTCAGAGGCTAAACATGCCAATTTCTTTCAGTTTTTCCTCAGAGGGTTTGGTTTCCAGTCCCCTGATCATCCTTGTTGCTCTCCTATGAACTTGATAATGTTTGCTGGCATCCTTCTTAAAGTGTGGAGTCCAGAACTGGGCACAGTACTCTAGATGAGGCCTAATAATTGCCGAATGGAGGATGACTACTCATAGTACCTCATGCGATTTGGACTATAAAGTGACCCAGGTGTTTTTGGACTGCAACTCTCCCAAACCATGGCCAGCTGGTGGCAAAGGCTTCTGGGAATTGCAGTCCAGGAACTCCTGGGCTACCCAAGACTGGGAATCACTGCCCTGAACTAGAGGCTGACAGGGCAGCTGCAATTCTGACACACAGTCAGAGAGTGGAAAGGCAGCCCAGCCAATCTTGTCCCCTGGCATCAAATGAGCCCACCTCTAACCTATTAAACAGGAACCAATTGATGAAGAAAATAAAATCGAGAGGAGATGGAAATCCCCCACTGAGGACTGTAAAGGGTTGTTGATGCTTGTTTGGAAGTTCCCACACACATTTTGTCCGAATGCCAATCCATAACGTATACCTCTGTTCCACCTCCCTCTGCTTCCCTATGCCTTTTCCCACCATTATGCAATTTTTCATGTACTCCCAAATGTCTTGGTTTGTACACTTGGGGGTACACACACCCCAGGTTGGGAACCACTGCTCTAAGTCATCCTTCTGTACCCTGGTGTCCTTCACCAAGGAATTGAACTCCAGCCTACGGAAGGCCCAGTGATAGGCAAGGCTCATGACAACCCTGGATTCTTGACACACAGCTTATTTTTGCTTCTGTTGGGCACCTCTTAAGGTGCATCATACAAGAGTTGAAACAGGGACACATTCTATTACGTTTTGCTACCTGATAGACACGAAGAGAAAGAGATGGTTTTAAAGCAAAAGAGTCTCTTTTTTTTCTTACTGTCATTTGTCTTTCTCAAGATGCCTTTCATTGGCAAGAGGTTTTAGCACCAATCCATCCTTTTCCTTTGGAAAGAAATTGGCCATGCCAGAGGTCCTCTCCTGAAGGACAGGAGAAGCAAGGGAAAGGCTGTTCCTTTCTGTGGACCAAAGGAATAAGTGAGCTTGCGAAATCTCTTCCTACCCACAGGAAACTTTCTTGAAGGTGTTTAAGAGGCTTATCTGCTTAAACCCTCCCTTTAATTACACTGAGCCTCTGTTGCCAATGCAAGGATTGTCTGTAATAGCTATCTCTGCAGCCTCTGCCACCTCATGTAGACGCAGTCCACTTCCACCTGCAGAACAAGAGTGATGAGATTGACCTGCCATGCAGTGCTGTTGTAAAGATTACACAGGTCTTGGCAACAGTAGAGCTGCTCCATGGAGACCATCGCCTCTTGAAGCACAACCTATTTAAAAACAGCAACCTGTCTATTAATTTTTCCCATATACTTCTTTGTAGCCCCTTAGGTTTGGGGATAACCTAAAAGGCTCGTTCCAGAAACTTTTAATACCTTAAGGATTAATTTTTGCCTTGTCTTTAGGTGTAACTGTAAAGAAAGGCAAGAAGACTGTTAACATCTGTGCACCTGTTGTGATTTCTGATGCTGGCATCTTTAACACCTATGAAAGACTGTTGCCAGAAGAACTGCAAGTTTTGCCAGGTAAGACACCATAGAGCAATCCAAGCTAATGCAAAAGTACAGAGAGTCTGGAGGTACCTCTTCTCTGTGTGTCTCCTGCTGCAGACAGTCTAGCCTGGAATTCATTAGGATCCCTTCAATTGTACAGTCAAGAGGAACTCTTTGAGTCTGGATCAGAGGAACAGTGCCGAGAAGGGAATGAGTATTCAAATTCCCTCTCCCAATGTATTTAAGCGAACCCTTTTCCAACACCTTTAGAGTGAAAAATGCCAGCACCTTTGTTCCCCCATCCGTCTTTATTTGTTTATTTATCATTTTTATATTTCTTAAATTTATATTCTGCCTCATTAGTTTCATGCACTATTTTGGGTGGCTTACAGAAGTCAAAAACATACAATGATACGCTTAAATAAGCAATTTTTAAAAACACAAAAATTTCAAGAGACATAAATTGTAGGAATGAAACGTGGGATGCGAGGCATTTAAACAAATAATCAAATAGGAAAAAGGAAAAGAAAAAAAGAGAGAGGAGAAAAGAAGGAAAAACACATCAGGGAAGGTTGCCAAAAAAGGCCTCTCTATAGAGCCATTTTTAAGTGCCTTTTAAATGTGGGGAGGGAGGGAGCCAAGCGCAGCTCTATGGGAAGATGGCTCCAGAGTATTGGTGCCAGAGCAAAGAAGGCCCTGTTTTAAGTGGATGATTTCCTGGCCTCCTTTAGAGTAGCTGCTCAGAGACGCACAGTTTGGGAGGATCTCATGGAGTGGATTGATGACCTTGGAGAAAGATGTTCTGACAGGTAATGTGGTTCCAATAAAGGGAGAGAAGCAGATTGAACAAACAGGGGAGGGAGCAATAGTTAAAATTGCATCTGCCTGGACCCCACATTCCCAGTCTGAATCTTCCTACAGCTAGAATGGGAGAAAAAAAAGATAAGCGCTTGGATTATAAATTATCTTCCTCTTTTAAAATCAAAGTTGGACCTGAACATGATACTACCTGGGCCAGAGTAGCAGGAAATGCCCAGCATACTAAATGTCTGACACAAAAACATCTTCCTGCTCCCCTGCTAGTAAACATGCAGTCGTATTAAATTAAACAACAAATGATTTTCTGCCCACTCACGGCCCCCCAAAGCTGCCTCACCCTGTCTCATTGTTCAGGCAGTCCCTGTCATCCAACCTCAAACAGAATGATATTGGACGCCCGGCCTTTCTATGTGGTACAATTATGCAGGAGGCAATGCCACTGAGTCCTAATCCCACTTGATACTCCCCTTACACACCGAGTCTCACATTAGCCTTCTTAGCTGCAGGATTTTCCCAGAGGCTCTAATGAGAATCTGTTATGACCCATGTTCCTTTTTGTGTCACTGCCTTCTCTATGGAGGCCCTTGTGCCCTATATTCTTCTAGCTGCAGTCTTTTCTTCAAAGACTTAAGAGCTTGAACATATTTAAATGCCTGTGTGGCTACTTTAAGCCCATCTGAGCCTGCAGCAATCCAGATTTCATTGGAGAACTGATTCCATCTTAACCAGTTGCTTACCACTTAGCATGTATGACCTTTTAAAAAAAACCTAGCTACATGTATATTTTCCCAAAAGTTTTATCTTTATAGCATTGAGAATTAATGGCTTTCTATGTACCCATTCAGACACTCTCCTAGCAGGGCTTAAAATTAAATTGTCCCACCAGCACCCCAGAATTCTTTGTGGGTTCTGAGTAGTGATGTAAGTCCTCACATGTCTTGTCCTCATGTCTGGGGACACGGGATTTACAAAATGATCCTTTTTGGCCTTAAGGAGGGTGAGAGATTTTGTGAAGCTCTTCATAAGAGAGGGAAAAGAGAACTAATTTTTGTGCAAACAAAGCAAAATTGCACGAATGGTATATATATGAGAGAGAGAGTGTGTGTGTTCTTTATATTTAAAATATTTTAACCTTGCCTTTCTCCTTGAAAATGACTTGAGGCAACTTACATCATTGAAGACAACATTTAAAGCTAAAAACAGTGAGTGCACAAAACTAAAAGAGATCAAACAATTACTACACTAAAAACTGGTAAAAACAGTCAACAAAGGCAACACCAAAAACACATTCAAAGCATTAAGGCACAACAATTCATTTAAGAATCAATGTATAATGTACAGTGTAGCATAGCATAGCATAGTATAGATGCAACTTACTTTACTATGTTGCAACCAGAACAGGCCTGTTTGAATCAATGGAATTCACAAAGGAGTTGACTCATCAAATCCCCACCAATTCAAAGGGTCTAGTGTAACATAACATTAAGCAACAAGATTTCAGCCAAATTGTGCAAAATGATGGCTCTTGCTTTGTTGTATGAACTTTTAGGAAGCAGAAGCATTAGAGAGGGAGCCTGCATCAGACCTAAAAATGGGGGCATGAATAAGTATTTGAATGGCTAGTAGAATGGAGATTCAGATGCTCTTTTAAAGCTCCCCCCAACCCAGCATCTAAGATGTCAGGGAGGATATGAGGAGCCTTGGATGCCTGCATATGTAGTTTTGAATCATGGCTTTCTCTGTCTAGCATTCTTAAGAGTTTGTTTTTATAAAATACATTTTCTGGCACACCTGGCCATTGGTTATGCTGGCTGGGGCCAATAGACACTGAAGTCCCAAATTTCTAGAGATTGCCAGGTGAGGGAAGACTAGGATACAGGAACATATGAAGATAAGAAATGATGATTATTTGTACTCCAAAAAATATTTTCCAGGTTCTGGCAGAGTTCTGGTTTATAAATGACAAACTAAAGGTGGATTTTTTTTCTTTCCTTTGGTGGCATAACAATAATCTGTAGTTTAATAAGAAGTGTCTGCTTCTAATTTCCTTCTCAAAATTTTACATGAATAATTGTATGTAAAAGAACGTGCGTTTCTTTCCGTTGGCCTTGTTCTTTGCACTTGGCATTGAGAGTCAAGGTGAAAAGTTGAAACAAGATAGTAGGAGCCTGAATGAACTCACTTGAGCTCCTAACCTTAGAGATCTCATCTTTTTACTGTTTAATGGGAGATTACTCGTATAGGAAAACCTGACCTCCTTTGACACTCTGATTCTGTGATTAACTTTTAGGAGGCGATTATGAGTCCGCTCATGAAAAACCATTTATCCTTGGCTACTGTACCTCCTGTAACTATCCCTTTCGTGGGAGTAGAAATGACTTTGATTAAATTTGAATTGAAGGATGGGGCAATGCATTCAAGTTAAGTGCTCTGTTAAGACGGTAGAATTGTAAATCCATGTAAATCAGATATGGGCAGGCTTAAGGGATTGCTGGACCAATTTTTGACCCCCTGGCTCCCCAACAGGCAGTATCAGCCCCCGTTTCAAGGGGCAGTGACTGGAAGTCCACTACATGGTTTTAGGGCAGGACTTTGTGCCTTGTTTCTAAAGAGGCTTTTCTCCTTTTCTGCTGGGGGGGGAAACGTTGTGGGAAGGGAGGAGACTAGATGTGGTGCCACATGCAAGCTAGGAACCCTGCTGGAAACCTCATTGGCTTGATAGAACATGCCAGGACTTGCGTTCCACCGAGAGTTTGGGTAGAGTCACCTCTGGTACATCTGTCTCCATACCGCAATTTGACAGAGTTGGACTTTGGACAACATTTAGAAAAAAATGTTTTAATTTAAAGTTTGACTTAAAAGTTTTGTATTATGCCAGATTCATTGTCTCACAGTGAAGATTGTGATCAGGTTCATCATCTTACTTCTTAATCTTTCACCATCAACTGTTCCCTCTTTTCCCCCTTCCTAGAAATTCAAATGCATCTGTCTATGATACATCATGGTATAGGAGGACTCAGTATTTTCATAGGACTCAATGGTTCCAAGGAAGAACTGGGACTGGAAGCTAAGAACTACTACATCTATCAACACAATGACCTGGATAAAGCGTAAGAGAACTTTGGAATCTGTTTACTTCTGACATCTGGTCTTGAGGGGCAACATCACCTTGGTAGCCCACTGGACTCATTTGCTAGTCTCTCCCATACCATTCATCATAAAGTGGCTCTGCTGAAGTCAGGAGAGCTTATATTGCTAAAAAAAAAAGATAAAATGCATCAGTCAAAAAAGTGGAGGAAAGACACAGATTTGCATGATATCTGCCTATACTAACATGTATAAAGGCAAATTTAGAAATGTCTTGAAGATCTGTGATTCATTTAGTGATGCATTTAGTGTCTCGGTCAGTTCAGGCTGCAACTATTTACAGACATGATTGCCACAACTAATTTATCACTTGGAGCCATCATTGAAGGATGGCCTTTGAATGATAGAGACATAGTCTGTCTCTAAGGAGAGGATTGAAGTCCAGGCTCTTCTGCCACGTTTTCCCGGAGCATTAAGATCTCAGCCTCCCTTTTTACCATCCTTTTTGCCATCCTCTCTATCACCCTTTTTACCACCTTTGTTGCCGTCTGTTTTAATTTACCCTATTTGGTTATGTATTGATTTATTTTTTATCGTGTTTTAATATTGTTCTGATATTGTTGTTAACCGCCCAAAATGGCCTTGTTGCCAGATGGTGCAGGATATAAATGCAATCAATCAATCAATCAATCAATTAATCAACCAATAAACAAACAAACAAACAAACAAACAAATAAATAAATAAATAAATAAATAAATAAATAAGGTTCTTGCTAGAAAATGGCCAGTATCTTACATTCAATTCACACAGAATGCAGGGCCACCTCAGTGTCATCTCTATAGCTCAGACTGGCTAAGTTGGATATTAGAAGACATTTAGAAATTGTTGTTATAATCTAGATGGGCATACAATACATCTCACCACAGTGAGGGGCTGAGGAAGCTACATAACGTGTACCTTTTTCAATCTGCTAGCCAGATATTAGTCATGGATGGGTAACTTCAAGGGTTTTGATCATGTACATTAGGCGCATCTCTGGACAACAATAATAACAGAGAAATGGACTTAACAGCAAGGTGATGCTCAATGCTGGCTGTTGGGTAACAGCAGAAAGATTGCCCATTATGGGAGGAAAGATGCTTCAGTGGAGGAAATTGATTCCACAGCACCAGGACTCTTTTGACTGCAGGGTAAACTCACCAAATATTCCACTAGCTCATTAATTATACTCATTAATTAGGGTCAATAATGTTCCTCTAGCTTTTCCATGTGCTGTATTCACATCACAGAGTTAATAAAAATTATTTGGGGTACATGAATCTGGATTGAATGGACAAGTCATTTTCTCACGACTCAATCCCTATCCCACATTGTTTATCTTGCCAAGAAAATGGCACACCACAATCTATACAAGCACTGGATTTCCCCTGCATCTTTAGTGCTTAATTTCCATCTCAAATGGGAGACAGCTCTGATACTACCCTTGTAGTTGAATAGATCAGGAAATGGTCTGTGACTCACCCAGTATCATTAAAAAATTTCATATGCTTGTACCTCATTTTATTTTTAACATAATTCATGTCATGATCAATTAAAATAAAAACTACACCACCTTAAAAGGCATTAGTGTATTTATATAACACATATTTTCTGTCTCACGTGAGGCATATTCCTCCCAAAAGAAATATAAAAAGAGTAAAAAGACACCTTAAATATTTATTTATTTATTTAGCAATTACTTCAGAGCTATCTTTCCCAACCTGGTACCTTACAGATACCTTGGTCTACAACTCCCATGAGTCATATAAATACTGGGTGAAGGGCCTCCCCCTAGTATTTCACCTGACCAATTTGCAGCATTTTTAAAATCCAAAGTGGAGGCCATCCGCTGTGACCTTTCTCCTTTTTTAAATACAATGGATCGAGCAGATATGTCCAGCGCTCCTCCTTGCCCAGTAATTCTTGCCTCCTTTCAGCCTGTAACATCGGACTTGGTAAACAAGGCGCTTGATCGCTGTCGGGCCACCACCTCTTCTCTCGACCCTTGTCTGGCCTGGCTAATCAAAGCAGCCAGGCCTGTAACAACCGAATGGGCCACCGCAATAATTAATGGGTCTCTTCAGGAGGGCAAGGTACCCCTTGCCCTCAAGGAGACACTCATTAGGCCCATTAGGAAGAAACCAAATTTGGCGAAGGACGACATTGGCAATTATAGGCCCGTTGCCAGTGTTTCTTTCCTTAGCAAAGTGGTTGAGAGGGTGGTGGCAGATCAGCTTCAGGCACTCTTGGACGAAACCAACTCTCTGGTACAGAGATGGCACTGGTCGCACTGATGGATGACCTGCTGAGGGAGGCCGATGGGGGCAGTATGTCCTTGTTGGTCCTCCTCGACATCTCGGCGGCCTTTGATACCGTCGACCACGGTATCCTCCTGGGGAGGCTCTCTGAGTTGGGAATTGGTGGCCTGGCACTTGCCTGGCTCCGTTCCTTCTTGGAGGACCAACCCCAGAGAGTTCAGCTTGGGGAGAGGGTCTCGGCCCCGTGGAACCTCAATTGTGGGGTTCCACAGGGGTCGATCATCTCTCCAATGCTGTTTAACATCTATATGAGGCCGCTAGGTGGGGTCATCAGGGGATGTGGGGCATCGTGTCACCAGTATGCTGATGACACACAACTCTACATCTCCTTTTCATCTACCTAAGTGGATGCCGTACTGTCCCTTCAGCGCTGCCTGGAGACTGTACTGGAATGGATGCAGTCGAACGGGTTGAGGCTGAACCCGGACAAGACGGAGGTCTTGAGGGTGGGTGGTCCTTCCACCAGTGGTATAGGCAACTCCCTTTCTTTTGGGGGGACGACCCTTGCCGCAAAGAGTGAGGTCCGCAACTTGGGGGTACATCTGGACCCGGCGCTTACCATGGAAACCCAGGTGGCGTCCGTGGCCCGCTCTGCCTATTTCCATCTATGGCGGATTGCCCAGCTGCGACCCTATCTCGATGGGGGGGCACTCACTACTCTAGTCCACGCGCTCGTAATCTCAAGATTGTAACGCACTCTACGTGGGGCTACCTTTGAGGCTGACGCGGAGACTTCAGATGGTCCAGAATGCAGCAGCCAGGCTCCTTAGTGGGGTGAGAAAACACCAGCATATCTCCCCCACCCTGGCTGCTTTGCACTGGTTACCCATCCGTTTCCGCGTTGACTTCAAAGTGCTAATGATCACTTATAAAGCCCTAAACGGTTTGGGACCTCAATATTTGGCAGACCGTCTTCTCCCACCCAGATCTACCCGAATCACCCGACATAGCCAGCAGGGGCGGCTGAGGGGTCTGACGCCGAGAGAGGCCCGGAAGGAAAAAACAAGAAACCGGGCCTTCTCGGCGGTGGCTCCTCGGCTGTGGAACGCCCTTCCAACAGAAATTCGGCTGGCACCCTCGCTGGGTGTTTTTTAAGTTGTAGACTATGTCTAGATGGGCGGCATATAAATGCAATCAATCAATCAATCAATCAAATAAAGGATGGCTAGTTGCCATGGATGATGAAAGTTGTGGTCTCAAAATCTGGAGGTAAGGGTATAATGAATATTTTTAGATTATTCTCATATTTGAAGAAAAGGAGTGTCTCGATACGCTAACAAAATTTGCTGTAATATTTACCCTTTTATCAGAACAGCATTCTTTTTCAAAAAACGAAAACGGATTGTTTTCAAAACCTTACATTTTCCATGAAATACAAGCTTTCCTGTGAAAATTTTTGTGTGTGTATAAAAGCCATTTGTGTGCCAAATTCAGGAAATTCTCAAAATGTTTACAGTCTCACTCACTGAGAAGAAAACTTTTAATTTTTTTCCTTGCATATGATAACAAAATAAACACAGGTTTTTTATCTCTAAATGTAGAGCAGTGCGCTGTAGAAGGCTGCTTTAGAAGGGATGTTGATGTCTATGTTAGGGAACATATTGGGGATGAGAGGGAGAGTAATCCTTTCCTCCTTTCTCTGCTGTATCTCCTCCCCCGTCCCCAAGCTACTGTTTGGTAAAAGAGAGAAACTATCATTGGTACCAAGGATTTCCCTCTCTGGGACCTGAAGGTTTACAGAAGAGTCAGGGCAAAAATGGCACAGGAAAAAATGGTTAAAATATCTAACTGAACCCATGGTTTGGAAATATTATCCTTTTGTTTGGTTTTTTTACTACAGTTCCCAGAATCCCCCAGATTAGTGGTCATATTGGTTGAGGTATTATGTCAATAGTAGTCTAGGAAAGTAATTTTTCCTAGCTTTGCTCTGGCCTGATTACACCCCTTTTGTGCAGGGATGCTCTATAAAATAAGGAAAATAATCATGCAGAACAGGAAAAATAGGGAGACAACAGGTTAGGGTGAAGGACAGCGTTGCAGGGCTAGAAATTTCCTTTTAAAAATGTTAAGTAGCTGCAGATATTGCTCTTTGTCCCTAAAAAGCATTTAAAATTATTTTGGTAATTTAAAAAAGCAGATCCTGACTTGCTCATTTTTCAAACATTGCTAAATAGTTACTTCTAAGTTTGTCTGTTTGTTTTAAATTAGAATGCCAGTGTTCTATGGTACAAAGCATGCCTCAGTGATACTGCACACATCCTGTAGCTATAAAAGAAACTGAAATAATTAATGCACAAAAGGAGGGCTTGTTCTCTAATATATTACAATTGCAATGTAACCAGAAGTACTGTATATCTACACTTGTAGATTATAAGCTGAATATGAGCCAACTGCAAAAAAGGCAAATGCTACTTTAAGGCTGCGTTAACAAAATATAATCTCCAAATCCTTTGAAGTATTAGTTGGGACCTCTGAGTTATATCCCCCCCCCCTGAAAAAACAGGTCCACCTAGGAAATTATTCCTTAGGACAGAGCCGTGGCAGTTAATGCACTATCAAACTGCTGTTAGCTATGCAGTGTTTTGTATATATACAACTTGTTATTCTTTAGTTACTGTAGTAAATGGCTTTGAATTCGCAGTCAGTCATGGAACCTCACTTGGGTGTGTGTGGAAGTGGTAAAACTACTCCTTGAATACCCCACCTTGAAAATCCTATTGAGGTAACTATAATTCAGTGCCAGGATATAATACAATATCATGGGCATCCTTCAGTCTCGAGAGACTATGGTAACATGCTCTGACTCGACGAATGTCCTCTCCCGAGCATGAAGCCTGGGTAAAGGAATATGGAGGATAGGCTGTTACTCAAGCAGCAGATCCCCCCTCTCCATGTTGCTGAAATGGTCCAATGGAAAGGCAAAAACCAATACAACTGGTTCCAGCAACGTCGCAGGAGTTGGCAGAACGACATGAACTGCCTTCGGGACTCCAGCTCCGGATTTTGCCTCTAGGTTAACTCCTGAAGCCTTTTCCATCAGTGGATATAGCCGCAAGGCAGCGGAGGTTTGAAATTGGAGTTTTCCTTCTCCTAGATGGGCTGCCTTCCATGGCTGACGAGCCCCACCTACCCAGTCTGCTGTTTAATAGTGCTGAAGTATGATCCAACCCTTAGAACTTTCCTGCCTCCCACATGTATGCAAATCTAATTGGATTTCCTATTTACCATAATAGGGCCAGAGATAGAATCAGAGAATTTGAGAATTTTGCGCGCCTAATGGCGCGCAGTCCTGGGGCACGCTCATTTAAAGCAGAAAGCCCCACCCCCTAAGCCCCATCTCCAGGCCATGTGGTAGTGGAGACAAAAAGAAAACCCAGGAAAAAAACTCAGCAAAATATCCATTCAGGCAACCTGTTACTTGTAAATCTGTTTTATGTTACAGTTTTATATCAAAGTGATGTGGATGCTCACTGTTGTCTCACCTCCAAATTAAGGCATGTTGTTTTGTTACTTTTGAAAAAATTATTTAACCACAGACCATCACAGAGAGGAAAGCAAAGGTCTATTGTTGATATGCCACAGAAAAATGATGCCACCTTCAACTGTTTCAAACTATTATTTGTAAAATAGTGTAACAAAGTAGTGCTGAAAGTCTTTATAAACTGAAGGAAGTCTTTATTTCTTGAAAGGTTTGTTTCTTACTTTAATTCCTCACGAGAAACTGCTCCAAAGAAGATCCCTCTGCTGTATATTGCATCTCCATCAGCTAAGGACCCTCTGTGGGAGAAGAGATACCCAGGTATGAGTGCTGTGCAAATCAGAAATCTAACGTTGATAGCAACAGTGGCATAGTGGTCATTATAATGGTAGTAAAGAAGTGGAGAAAATAGAGGACGATCAGCATGGGGACTTTGTAATCCACAGAATCCTGTGTGCAAATTCAGAAAGTACTCAAAAGAATCCTATGCAGCCTGGGGCCTATCTTGGAACAGAGCCCAGGACTAACATGCCATGGTGGGCCCGTTGACAGTGGTTAGACCTGTGACAAACCCAGACCTACTGGGATCTGCCACACGTTAACTAAGCTGCCACCAACCATTCCCTATAAGAAGTCTGTTGACAGTGGTTAGACCAAGAACTGCACCTTTGTCCTGTGAAACATGTTCTGGTTGCACTGCTGTTGCAAGAAGAAAGGCTGCCACTGTCATTAGGCAGAGTGAGGAAACTCTTATAAGGGGACAATTGCTGGGGGAGGCAGCAGCGGCAGCAGCAGGAGTAGCTCACCAGTCATCTTTTGAGCCCCCTAAACTCTCTCGCCTTTCGAAGGATGGGGTTGCATGTGTTGCACAGCATGGCCTCCAGCCCCGTAAAGCATCCTGTTGTCCTCAGGCGTGGTGGTGAGCCCTATCCTGTTGGTAATATAGAAATAAGTTGCAATTCCCAGCTAGCTTCTCTGCATGGAATGAAGAGGGGTGCTATCTTGTCCTTGGCCTCAGGAAGCAAAATCTCTTGGGTCAGCCTTACTTTTTTTTTAAAGTCCCTCTTTGATCCCCTTTTGCTGCCTCGGCCCCTTGCCAAACCCTCTACGTGTAGGAGACTGTCAAAAGCCCAATAGATTTCTAATAAAAACTTGATATCTTTCTTATTTCAGGAAAGTCTACTCTCATTGTCCTGGCAGTTGCAAAATATGAGTGGTTTGAGGAATGGAAGGAAGAAAAAGTCACTAAGAGAGGAACGGAGTACGAGAGCTTAAAGAATACCTTTGTGGATAATATGATGGACACCATTTTGAAATTCTACCCTCAGATAAAAGATAGGGTAAGAGCATTTTCTTTCTAGGCAATCTTTCAGCATTTATTGAGCATTTATTTACATCAAGTCTTGGACACAGTGTATCTCAAAGATCTTACCACCATCTCCTTCAAATCCTGTCCTTTCAAGATGAACTGAGAAGACCCTCTTAGTTCTATCCAGTAGCCACTGGTGACTTCAGTTTCAGGGGGAGTGCTGGAAATCCATGTTGGGTTTTAGTTTGCACCTCACACAAGTTATTCAAGTATTGAACCTATTTTGAGGATAGCGCTCAGCACTATGGAAGTTCAAGCTAAAACCCAGAGTGGATTCACAGCTTTCACAAAAGAGGAGTCAGCAACATCCACCACTGGCTCTAATCACTTTTGAGCAAGCCCATAATATTAGTTGCAATCTGGGACTAAACTCTTTTGGTCCTTCTGGAACTTTCCTAGAAGCAAGGACTGCTCTAGACTTGCCTTCTAATTTTAAAAAAATCAGAAGATGACAAGGGGAGTTTACAGCATAATGCTGGAGCCAGCTTTGTCATCTTCCTCCACGTCTCATTCCATGCCCCCAATTTTCTGTCGGTGTTTTTCTTCCTCAGAAACTTGAGACTTTGTGGCCACTGGGGTCTTGTCCCTCCAGATAGCTTGGACTTGGGTTCTTATTCATATCCACCAGTAGCCAGAGATTATGGGATGTAGTCCAAAACACTGAAGAAAGGCATGACTATAAAGAGGCTGTATCTCTACCGCTTTGTCATATTCAGAGTCACGGATACTCCCTCGAGGTTCTGCAGGGTCCCTCCTGAACAGCAAGCAGCTCCGTTTGTTTTATCTTAAGTAATCACCCATATGAAGATAAAAAATAGCCCTGAAGGAAATCATGGGCAAAGAGGTAGTGTTGGTGGTAGTTGGGAGGGACAGGTAAACGATGGGCTGGAAAAAAGTGGCTGACCTTTACAACCAAAACTGTGGTATACTTGTAAAACCCCAAGCGGGGGCAGAGGGGAAGAAAAAAAGGAAGTGGGTGCCATTTGAAACCACAGTGAGGCTTGACATCATGTGATATAACAGAAGTCACTGCTGATTTGGTCCATTTTTTTTGCCCCTGACAGTGCAGTTCTGGCCTTGGATATATTTCGCCTGGAGAAGAAAAAATTGGGAGGTGATAGGAGGGGCCTTTTCAGGTATAAGGAAGCAGGGCAAGGCTGCCAGGGGTTAAGATCCAAGTCATTGGATTCAAATTACAGTGGTGCCTCACTTTACGACGTTAATTCGTTCCAGCGAAATCGCTGTGGAGCGAAAACGTCGTAAAGCGAAATAAAAAAGCCCATTTAAATGCATTGAAACCCGTTCAGTGCGTTTCAATGGGCTGAAAACTCACCGTCCAGCAAAGATCCTCCATAGGGGCAGCCATTTTCGGTGCCTGTGCAGTGAGGAATCCGTCCCTAAACACAGCGGGGGGCCATTTTCTTCAGCCGGCGGCCAGTTTGTACAAGAAAGGTGATCTGATTAAATGCTAATAAACACTTCCTGATAGTAAAAACTGTTTGACAGTGGAACAGATTACCTCACAAGGTCTTAGACTCTCCTTTGTTAGACAGAGGCCTTTAGACAGAGGTTGGATGGCCATCTGTCAAGGATGGAGTTGCTCAGTCCCAGGGCACCAGCTGGGAGTCTCAGGAAATTGCGGTGCTTCTCAGAGTTTGCAGGCAGAGATATAAATCTCAGGACAAGCAAGAAGAGGGGAAACGTTTGATTTTTTTTTTCTTTATGTGGTGGCTTTAAAGCCTCAGAATCTCTCTCTTCCCCCACTCCTCAATAGCACCAAAGTTCACTTGACTTACCACAATGGTGTCTATGATTTAGTGTGGTTAATCTATATTGTCTGTCTATCCATTATGATTATTGTCTCTTTCTCCTTCACAACCACACCTTCTCTTACAGTTATTACACAAGGGGGCCCACCTCCTAGTCTCTGGATCTGGCCCTCCGATCTCAAAGAATGGGAGGCTGTTGATCGGGCTCCATTTTTATTTCTTTTTCTTTTTTTATAAATAAATAAATAAAATTACTGATGTCTTGAGAGCCATTTTTTAATTTCATTTTTTAAAAAACAAGATGTGTTTATTTGTCTATGGTTTCTTCTCAACAGATTGAGTATATCTCAGCAGGAACGCCTCTCACCAATTCCCACTACATAGGTTCTCCCCGAGGAGAGATGTACGGTGCAGAGCACAGCATCTCTCGCCTGCAGGCAGACGTGGCAGCCAAAATGAGACCTCAGACTCCTGTCCCAAACCTCTATCTGACAGGTACGTACCTGTTGTTCATCTCTTCCTAGATGCCACAACTCTTGACTGCAGTGTGTTCTGCTTTGCTTTGTTAGAGGAGGCAGGTAGAATTAATTCCTTGGTACTGGATGAGGATTTAAGGATATAAACAGAGCCACACAGGATCAGATAAAAGACTTATCTAGTCCGCCATCCTGCTTACTCAATGGCCAACCAGGGACCTATGAGACACCCACAAGCACAACATGAGTGCAGCAGCATCTTTGTGCTCCACTGAGAAAGACTTGCCATCTGCCTCTGGTGCAGTCGGGAGGAGGGGCTCTATATCCATTATGATTATTAGCCCCTGACAGGCTTATCCATTCCATTCCTTCTTCAAAGTCTTCCAAGTTAGTGCCCATCACTATATCTTACAGAAGCAATTCATATTGCAAAACATTATTGCTTTCCATTGGTTCTGAATCTTCAACCATCCAGCTTTAGTGGACCACCCTGTATTCTATGAGAAAGGGAGAAGGGGTTTTACTAAAAGGACAAAGAGTCGTTTATTTAAAATGAAGCAAAAATAAGTTCCTGAAAAAGATGGGTTAAAACAGTGGTTCTTAACCTTGGGTTACTCAGGTGTTTTTGAACTGCAACTCCCAGAAACCCCAGCCAGCACAGCTGGTGGTGAAGGCTTCTGGGAGTTGCGTCCAAAAACACCTGAGTAACTCAAGGTTAAGAACCACTGAGTTAAAATAATTCCAGAGTACATAAAATCCAATTTTAAATGAAAAATGTGAGTTCCATACAATGTGGTTGAAGTAGATATGTTTTAAACAACTTTTCTCAGAATATTTTTCCTGTGCTACCATGATGTACACAGGCCAAGATGATTCGTCAAAATTCGCATTCAGATCAACCGGTCAGAAATATATAAATATCTAAACAAAACTATAAAAGAATTTCTCTGTGTCTAGGACACTTTATAGAAAAGGCTGAAGTCATAAAATGAGCACTGCTAATGTGAACATAAACCATGATCCATAGCTAAGAGGGGATGTAGATTAGAGGGGGTGGATAAGAACAGATGTACTATCTAAATCCTTTCTAAACGAGATGTTGCTTCTTGTAGAAAAGCGGGGGAGGGTACTAAGGAGATTTTCAAGGCATAAGGTACAAGTTTCAGTGCATACAGCTCCATACTTCCTCTTAAGTAGCAGAATATGAATATATGATGAAAAATAAATACATTTACATTTCTTGAGTTTGAGGACTATGCAGGCCATGTTTCAGTTTTTCTCACATAGAATTCTAAATCTGCAACAATTATTTGATTGAATGTTGTGGTTTCTTGTGAGTAAACCCACTGAACTGGGCAGAATTACTTTTGAGTGGATCTGTTAGAATTGTGCTGGAAATCACTTAAATTTAATCTGAGGAAAATGCTTTTAAACTAGTGAAATATGAGAGTTTAATTTGTTCCAGCGCTGGCACCAAGCCTTTAAAAAAAAGCAATTTCCTTACTTCACAAAGTAAGGTTGCTTTACTGAAAAAGAAAAATGTTACTTTGCATCAGGATTGTGTTAATCCAAGAATTGGCTCAAAATGCTTCAAAACTGAAACTGACCTCTTTTGTTTTCTTTAAACCAGGGGGGAAAGATATGGGATAGAAATTCAGGCTTGGAGGTGGTGGGGATCAACATTTGTAAAAGGTGAAATGTTGAATTTGCAGACAAGGGCCTTTCTGCATTCATACAAGTGTTCACACTGCCTGAATTGATATGAATACATTCTTTAGATTAGGCAACCTTCAGTCGCGAGAGAATATGGTAACGTGCTCTGTATGGAGGACTTGTAACAGTGTCTAGTGTGGCTGAGAAAGCCAATTTAAGAGTGACAATCCCTTCCACACTGAAGACAATCTGTCCCCTGTCCAGCTTCCTGATTTTGCTGGTTTCGGGTCTGACTCTTTGCCTCGGCCTGCTGGACAAGGGTCTCTTCAAATTGGGAGAGGCTGTGATGTACTGCCTGCCTCCTGGCTGAACGCTCAGATGTTGAGGTTTCCCATCTATTGAGGTCCATTCCCAAGGCCTTCAGATCCCGCTTAGAAGATATCCTTGTATCGCAGTTGGGGTCTCCCTCTGGGGCGATTTCCCTGCACTAATCGTCCATACAGGAGATCTTTTGGAATCCAACCATCAACCATTCTCACGACATGCCCGAGCCAACGTAGACATTGCTGTTTCAGTAATGGATACATGCTGAAAATTCCAGCTCGATCTAGGACTACTCTATTTGGAACTTTGTCCTGCCAGGTGATACCAAAAATGTGTCAGAGACAACGCATATGGAATGTGTTCAGCTTCCTCTCCTGCCATGCACAAAGGGTCTCACTGCCGTACAGGAGTGTGCTCAGGACAGACTCTATAGACCTGGATCTATAGAGCTGGATACATTCTCATGCGGAAAAAAAAAGCAGAAGCCCCAGTGGCAGAGGAAAAAAGGAGAGATGGAAAAGGAAACTTGATTGATTTGCATTGACTTATATATTATGTATAATGGAAAACAATATGTGCCTGATCATCCCAGTCCCAGAGCAATTCCCATATTATTTGTCAGTGTAGTTGCTCCCTTAGAAAATTACCTGTCTGCCCTGCTGGAAAGATGATGCCTGTTGGAATACCTGCAGTGCAACATCTGAAGAAAAATCCACACTTTTTTTTTAGCTTTCTATCAAGGCACTGTATTTGTCTATCAAGCTTACTACTGTCTGCTTCGATTTTCTGCCAAGTTAGCGAGTGGATTGCTTATTTTACCTGTTTATTTGATTTATGCCCTGCCTTCCTCCCAGGACTGGAACTTAAAGTGACTCACAAAATAAACATTAAATTACACACATTAAAACATGACATTAAAATGCAGGTGGAAAAAAATACAGTTATTTTAAAAATGTAACACTTGTCCATTAAAAACCTCATCTGATCATTAAAAGGACCAGCCACCTTTTTCAGCAACTGCTCAGTTGCCCAAGGTCCACTGTATAGAAATGTTTTTGCCTGCTGATAGAAGGTGAACAAGAACAGGGCTAGCCTAAGGTTGGTTGACTCTTTTTTCCACACAACATAAACACTGCGGTAAGTCAAACTGTCCACAGAGTGTTCCTGCCAGTACCTTTCCAAGCCCCTGTCAGGGATTTCTACTTCTACTTTTGAGAGAGAGAGAGAGAGAGAGATAGAGAGAGTGTGTGTGCTTCTTTTGATTTGAATGAAGTGGCTTAATTAACAAGTCACTTCAGGATATTGGAAAATTGAACACTTCCTCTGCTCCTTGATGTAGAGGCAGGGGAAGTAAATTTTTAATTTTCAGACTGTAGTAGAACATTGCTGATATGTGGTCAGTTTTTCAGCTGGTCCTTCAAAGACAAAGGAAAGAAGATACCTTTCTAAAAAAGATTAATAAATGATAACAGCACATCAGTAAGAGACTGCTCTTGTTGTTGTTTAGTCGTTAAGTCGTGTCCAACTCTTTGTGACGCCGTGGACCAGAGCACGCCAGGCCCTCTTGTCTGCCACTGCCTTCCGGAGTTGGGTCAAATTCAGGTTGGCCCCTTTGGTAACACTGTCCAAGCATCTCAGCCTCTGTCGTCTCCTTCTCCTCTTGCCCTCGCACTTTCCCAACATCTGGGGCTTTTCCAGGGAGTCTTCTATTCTCATGAGATGACCAAGAGGTTCTTTAATTTCTCCTCACTTTCTGCAATCAGAGTGGTATCATCTGCATATCTGAGGTTCTTGATATTTCTTCCGGCAATCTTAATTCCGGCTTGGGATTCATCCAGTCCAGCCTTTTGCATGATGTATTCTGCATATAAGTTAAATAAGCAGGGGGACAATATACAGTTTTGTCATACTGCTTTCCCAATTTTGAACAAATCAGTTGTTCCATATGCAGTTCTTACTGTTGTTTCCTGTCCCACATATAGACTTATCAGGAGATATGTATATATAGGCACTCCCATTTCTTTAAGGACTTGCCATAGTTTGCTGTGGTCCACACAGTCAAAGGCTTTTGTGTAGTCAATGAAGCAGAAGTAGATGTTTTTTCTGGAACTATCTGGCTTTCTTCATAATGCAGCACATGTTAGCAATTTGGTCTCTAGTTCCTCTGCTCCTTCAAAATCCAGCTTGTACTTCTGGGAGTTCTCGGTCCACATACTGCTGAAGCCTGCCTTGGAGGATTTTGAGCATAACCTTGCTAGCGTGTGAAATGAGTGCAGTTGTACAGTAGTTGGAGCATTCGTTGGCACTCCCCTTCTTTGGGATTGGGTTGAAGACTGATCTTTTCAGTCCTCTGGCTACTGCTAAGTTTTCCAAACCTGGAATATTGAGCGTAGCACCTTAACAGCCTCATCTTTTAACATTTTAAATAGTTCCACTGGAATGCCATCACCTCCACTGGCCTTGTTGTTAGCCATGCTTTCTACAGCCCACTTGACTTTGCTCTCCAGGATGTCTGGCTCAAGGTCAGCAACCACACTATCTGGGTTGTCCAGGACATCCAGATCTTTATGGTATAATTCTTCTGTGTACTCTTGCCATCTCTTCTTGATGTCTTCTGCTTCCATAAGGTCCTTACCATTTTTGTCCTTTATCATGTCCATCTTTGCACAAAATGTTCCTTTAATATCTCCAATTTTCTTGAACAGATCTGGCTCAAGGTCAGCAACCACGCTATCTGGGTTGTCCAGGACACCCAGATCTTTCTAGTATAATTCTTCTGTGTTCCTTTAATATCTCCGATTTTCTTGAACAGATCTCTGGTTTTCCCTTTCTATTATTTTTTTCTATATGTTTGCACTTTTCATTTAAGAAGGCCATCTTGTCTCTCCATGCTATTCTTTGGAAGTCTGAATTCAATTTTCTGTAACTTTCCCTATCTCCCTTGCATTTGGTTTCCCTTCTCCTCTCTGCTATTTCTAAGGCCTCGTTGGACAGCCACTTTGCTTTCTTTCATTTCGTTTTCTTTGGGATGGTTTCCGTTGCTGCCTCCTGTACAATGTTATGAGCCTCCATCCATAGTTCTTCAGGCACTCTGTCCACCAAATCTAGTTCCTTCAATCTGTTCTTCACTTCCACTGTGTATTCATAAGGGAGTTGGTTTAGATTATACCTGACTAGCCCAGTGGTTTTTCCTACTTTCTCCAGTTTAAGCTTGAGTTTAGCTATAAGAAACTGATGCAGAGCCACAATCAGCACCAGGTCTTGTTTTTGCTGACTCTATAGAGCTTCTCCCTCCTTGGCTGCAGAGAACATAATCAATCTGATTTTGGTATTGCCCATCTGGTGATTTCCATGTGTAGAGTCGCCTCTTGTGTTGTTCGAAAGGAGTGTTTGCGATGACCAGTTTGTTCTCTTGACAGGGCCAAACTTACCTGTTGTTCCTTTTATCTCTTGACTCCCTACTTTAGCATTCCAGTCCCCTATAATGAGAACATCTTTCTTTGATGTCAGTTCTAGAAAGTGTTGTAAGTCTTCATAGAATTGGTCAGTTTTTTGGTGCATACACTTGGATTTCTGTGATGTTGAAAGATCTGCCTTGGATTCGTATTGAAATGATTCTATCATTTTTGAGATTGTATCCCAGTACAGCTTTTCCCCTCTTGACCATGAGGGCTACTCCATTTTTTCTATGGGATCCTTGCCCGCAGTGGTAGATATGATAATGGTCTGAAGTGAATTTGCCCATTCCATCTATTTTAGTTCACTGATGCACAGGATGTCCATGTTTATTCTTGCCATCTCCTGTTTGACCACATCCAGCTTACCAAGGTTCATAGATCTTACATTCCAGGTTCCTATGCAGTATTTTTCTTTGCAGCATCGGACTTTCCTTTCACGCCCAGGCGTGTCCGCAGCTGAGCGTCCTTTTGGCTTTGGCCCAAACGCTTCATTAGCTCTGGAGCTACTTGTACTTGTCTTCCACTCTTCTTCAGAAGCATGTTGGACACCTTCCGACCTGAGGGGCTCATCTTCCAGCATCATATCTTTTAGCCTTTCGTTTCTGTCCATGGAGTTTTCTTGGCAAAGATACTGGAGTGGCTTGCCAGTTCCTGCTCCAGGTGGATCGCGTTTAGTCAGAACTCTCCACTATGACCGTCTGTCTTGGGTGGACCTGCACAGCATAGCCCATAGCTTCTCTGAATTACTCAAGCCCCTTCGCCATGACAAGGCAGCACTCCGTGAAGGGGCAGTAAGAGTCTACTATAGTCTAAAAGAAATTTCACTTCCTCTGCTCTTCCTCAGTGGAGGAGCAGGAGAAGTGAAATTTGCTACATCCTGAGGTTATTTGCTTATTTACCCACTTTATAATACTGGAAATTCCAACCATAAGGAGCTGGATCAAATAGGCTTTCTTGAGGTCTAATATGCCATATGGATGTGAGGATTGCAGCAAATGGTGTATCACACCTCAAATGGATCCTAACCAACCCTATTTAGCCTACATAAGCCTTCTCGAAAAAGACCCATGTAGATAAGCCCTGGGGGGGACGTGGTGGCGCTGCGGGCTAAAGCCTTCTCAAAAAAGACCCATGTAGATAAGCCCTATGTAATTATAGATATTGGTGATAAGACATTTTGCAATTTGCTACCCATTCAACCCTGAGTGCTCACTGGAAGGACAGATCCTGAAGCTGAGACTCCAATACTTTGGCCATCTCATGAGAAGAGAAGACTCCCTGGAAAAGACCCTGATGTTGGGAAAGTGTGAAGGCAAGAGGAAAAAAGACCCATGTAGATAAGCCCTATGTAATTATAGATATTGGTGATAAGACATTTTGCAATTTGCTACCCATTCAACCCTGAGTGCTCACTGGAAGGACAGATCCTGAAGCTGAGACTCCAATACTTTGGCCATCTCATGAGAAGAGAAGACTCCCTGGAAAAGACCCTGATGTTGGGAAAGTGTGAAGGCAAGAGGAGAAGGGGACGACCGAGGATGAGATGGCTGGACAGTGTCATTGAAGCAACCAACATGAATTTGACCAAACTCTGGGAGGCAATGGAAGACAGGAGGGCCTGGCATGCTCTGGTCCATGGGGTCACGAAGAGTCGGACATGACTAAACGACTAAACAACAACAACCACCCATTCCAATGACAGATGACTTAGGATATTTGGCAGTTGTGCTGGTGAACAGGCTTTTCATGGGCACGTATACAGAACACAGCATTTATCTTTCATGGTTTATTAATTTTTTGTCATTTAATAGGCAACTGACATTGCTGCTTGGTGAATGAAATAAAAAAGAGCCAAACCAGTCTAGTACACAAACTAGTACACACACCCATACATGTGTGCCACATGTCTGTATGTGTAAACACAAATCTTGATTGCGGAGAGTGAAAGACAGGAGGGCCTGGCGTGCTCTGGTCCATGGGGTCACGAAGAGTCAGACACGACTTAATGACTAAACAACAACAACCCATTCCAATGACAGATAACTTAGGATATTTGGCAGTTGTGCTAGTGAACAGGCTTTTCATGGGCACGTATACAGAACACAGCATTTATCTTTCATGGTTTATTAATTTTTTGTCATTTAATAGGCAACTGACATTGCTGCTTGGTGAATGAAATAAAAAAGAGCCAAACCAGTCTAGTACACAAACTAGTACACACACCCATACATGTGTGCACATGTCTGTATGTGTAAGGACAAATCTTGATTGCGGAGAAGGGGAGGGGATGAAGAAAAGCCAATGACTAAAAAGGGGCAATAAGGTTTTTGCTTTCACCCTCAGGTCAAGATGCTTTCTTAGGTGGCTTTCCTGGAGCGCTTCATGGAGCCCTTGTCTGTGCGTCTGCTGTCCTGCAACGCAATCTTTATGTTGACATCCTGTGGCTGAGCAGAAAAATCAAAGCGGAGAACACCAAGAAGAGCAACTGAGCCTTCAGCCTCCACCTTTGAGGGGATTGCACTCCCCACCCACCCACCGTATTGATCCAAGTGCTGCTGGCTTCTCTCCCCAGCAGGGGGTGCTAGCCAGTACTGAAACCAGTCCTGTATCTTGCTTTGTAAGGGGGAACAGCTCCCATTCACCAGCACTGCCATGAAAGGAGGGTGCGGGATGCAGTTTTAATACCTAAGCGCACGGGCAATCATGCAATATTTTTCTTGATATAAATGAGGAATCCAGGGCATGCACAGATTGGTTTTGTGCATCTTATTGGTTTTATGTCATTGTTGCCAGCGTGGCAGCGGCAGCAATGGCTGTTTCTATATCATGCATTCATGCAGCTGCTCCCACAACCATTATTGTTGCTTCTGCATTCTTGCACTTCCTTGGGATGGCTCCCACCTAGTGATCTACGGCTACGGGTTGTTCTAGGTTACAAAGAGTGGAGTAATTCCTCCTTTGCAAGGAAAAGGATTTTCTTTATTTTCTTTTATTTAATATATTTAAAATATTTTTATCCTTCTCAAAAGGACCCAAAGTGGCTTGCATCATTAAAAATACAATATTTAAAAGCTAAAAACAGGAAGTATACAAATATTTACCCAATAATGTATCTCAGTAGGATCATAGGTTGTAGATGATGGGAAGAAGCTCAGCCTAACCCCTTGGAATGCACTTCTAGTTCACTTTTAGATCTTACATATCTCTTCTCTAGCCTGGCACTGGAGTATAAAAAGCATTTTGCTGGATCAGACCAAAGGCCAGTCAGACATTCTATTGACATAGTAGCTAGCCAGTTGCCAATGGGAAGTTCAAAAGCAGAATACAGTGGTGCCTCGCACAACGAGTGCACCGTAGAACGACGAATCCACACAACGGGGCCGTTCTAGCGAGCACAAATGTGATCACGCACCGACGACCCCTATGGCTCAAAATCGCAGAGCGAAGGTCGGTAAGCGGTTCGCTTACCGACCTTTGCTTTGCGACCCGCTGATCAGCTGTTCGGGGGCTTCAAAATGGCCGCCGGAAGCCCCAAAATAGCCACGCGCAGCGTTTTCACGCCCTCGTTAAGCGAGGGGAGGGCGTGAAAATGGCTGCCGGCCATCGGAGAAAGATCGCTGTACGGTGAGTAAAGCTGCTATTGTTCCAATGGCTTTTTTTTTGATCCGTACAGCGATGTTTTCACACAGCGAGGGTTAATCCGGAACGGATTGACCTCGCTGTGTGAGGCACCACTGTACAAGTGGAGTAGCACCTTTCAGCTTGTATTACCCTGATACAAAGAGGCATACTACCTCTGGTACTGGAGTCAATATATTGCTGCCTTAACTCTGAATCACTGGTAGTTTTGTCCTTCCTGGACTAGGTGGACCACAGAGTCTAACTCAATATGAATGAAACCTTCATATATAAAATCTGGGACACACTACTCTTTAAACTAGATCTATGAGCTAGCATACACAGGCAGCCCACACATAGGAAAGTTTGTCATGAACTGGATGATAGTTTTAAGATCAGCCCCAGAGCGATCTCTGTGCAGTGGCTTTCCAGTTCTTCTGGCATGCTTCCTGTAGGCAACTGCTGTGAATAGGAAGGCCTCTCGTATGGTCCAGCAGAGCTTTTCTTATGGTTTTAACTGTCTGGAAATGGAACAATACATGAACATTCACTCAGAGATGAACCAGAATATTTACCCCCACCCCCACCCCAATCTTCTTTTTCCTTTTTTTAAGATGAATATCAACATCATGGGTTAGATTGAGAAGTGCTTTTCCATTTGCAGAAGATGCCTTTTGCTCATGTATGGCTATTTGATGACTCATGATGGCATTGTTTGAGAGAAATGAGCATTAAATCCAAGTTCATCTTCTGCGTGCACAACAAGGCTAATAGAATCCACCTCTTCTAGTGCCATCTGAGTTGAGATATAACACAAAATCATGGATTCTTTTCAACATCTGAATCTGAGGCTGTAAACTGTGGTTTGGTTTGATCCAAAAAAACTAAAGTCTCACATTGCTTTGCAAACCGTAGGTTTTATTAGTTATGGTTTGCCACTAAGTCTAAAGTGACAAACAATGGTTAAAAACTTCAGCATTGTGAAAATTGGAGACAATTTATGAATCTTGAGTTCTGAGCGGACCTGTGCATCAGGCAGAGTTCAATCCATGGCGTGGGTTCTGAAATAAAAGCCATAGGTTGGTATGATTTCTGACTAGAACATCTGTATCATTCATAGGTGAAATAGCACGATCAACTCTTTGCCTTCTGCTCTCAGTCATGTGGGTCTAAATCCTGGTCTTTTAAGGTCTGATGTTGTGTAGACCAGTCGTCTCCAACCTTGGGCCTCCAGATGTTCTTGGGACTACATCTCCCAGAAGCCTTCACCACCACCTCTGCTGGTCAGGATTTCTGGGAGTTGAAGTCCAAGAACATCTGGAGGTCCAAGGTTGGGGACCACTGGTGTAGACCTTGTGATGGTGAGCAGTTCAGGAATGGACCTGTGAACAGTTTGGCTTACAGTTTGTTGGTTAAAAAGGACTAGAATGGCTTTTGCAGATGCTTCCATGCCTGATTATCATAAAGACCAAAACTAAGAATTACTTGACTGGTTTCTTGCACACAGTGTCTCAGGTGCAAGATTTCAATTTATTGCTGACCTTTTGGACTTGCTTTTTGGATCTTTGACTCAGGTTTTGCAGACAAGGTCTGTCTCCATCCTGAAGCTACTTGCCCTAATCTTCTTATGCAGTCTAGTGCTTAACAGTCATATTGTCTGTCTACACTTAGCTCGATTTCTTATTGTCAGTAAAAGTTTCTTATGGATGTAAAGTAAATCAATACACACCAGATGTAATTAAGTGTATCTGTGTTGGCTATTTCAACGGCTTATGTAAATTGGTTTACATTAAAATCTGCAGTTAAGCTGGACACAAGAAGTACTTACACAAGACTTCAGTCCAACTTCTTACACCTTCAAGAGGATGCTCTGGTGGACTATTTCAGTTCTACAGTTGCAACATGTTATTCCCTTCATGGCAATCTTCATGGGTTCCAATATATAATCCAATCCAGAGGTAGACACAAAATCGCACTGTCACAATGGGCGTGTATCATAAATGAGAAATCTCAATGTATGTGGAACTAGGTTTGATCAGAATTGTTAACTGTTAATTGAAGCTAGGGAGTCATTTTGATAAGTTCCAGGTTAAGTTATAAAGCTGTGTCAGTCTGTGGCTGGTCAGTACTTGGATGGGAGACCACCTTGGAATTTTTTGCTTCCTGGGGGATCAATAGGTGGGGTATACATTTTAGTCTATTCTTTAAAACTGCTTTTTAAATTATTTTATTTTGTTTGCAATGAAATGCTTTATTAGATTTATTATTATGTTGTTTTAGTGGCTTTGGAAGCTCTAATGGGCAGGAAAGTGTTTAATGAATGTCCGTAAAATTGCTCTCTGACATCTTTGGACATGGGTGAAATCTGCAGGCCTCCAGATGTTGGTAGGATCCCGTTCATGTCAAAAAACAAGAGCACAGAGGGAAGAGGAAGTTGAGGCACCAATTGTTGACTGTACTACCTCCAAAAGTTAGCTCTTGTTAATGATTGACTGTTAGTATAACAGCTTCTTCAAGACATTTTGTCTCATGTTATGATGTGGGGGTCCCCTTTCATTTCAATCCTCCAAGCATTCATTACATTACAATTTATTTGTTCTTTGTTCATTCCGGAAACAGCACAGTACAACTGACGAAAATATAAGATATTTTTTTGCCCAGCAACACTGAGAACATTAAATCTTCCATGGTACTGGTTGAAGGGCATAGAATACAGTGATATAGGTATACATTTGGCTGTTCTTCTCTGCAGTTACAAAGGACTGTTCATGTGAAAACTGCATTTTCTTAGATTTACCTTGTTTCTGCCGAACCCAGTCTGTAGCTTAAGTGAATTGTAAGTAACCCAGATTTCCATGTGCCTGGGGGCTAGATTTTCCTGGGGTTCCTTCCATTCTAAGGGAGGGTAGTTCTTCCTTTCCACATTATACCCGGACATCCTCTGCTGTTCCTCTAAGATAAAAAATGTCTACAAATCAATGTTCACACCACCTCCAAATGCAATAGAACAGGGGTCATCAACCCGCGGTCCATGGCCCAGTGCCGGTCCGTGGGCTTGCCGGAACTGGGCCGCGGATATGGATCTCCACCAGCCCCCCACACCAGGAGTGGGCAATTAATTTCTATAGGGGGCCACATGAAAAATCTGAACTGTGTTCGGGGGCTGAACCAACTTCACTTAAAAATAGGCCCCCATTAGTTGGGTAGTAATAGGCCCCCAATTTGTGGGTAGTAATAAGCCCCATTGGGTGAGGCCCTGCAGTGAACAAACTACAAGGCTGACATAGTTAATTCCCTAACCTTTTTTAGGATGAGCGACAACTGGTGGGCCGGACAGGAGCGGCTCACGGGCCATATGTGGCCCATGGGCCGCACTTTGTCCAGGTCTGCCCCACACCCTCATCCAGGGGGCGTGTTATGCTCACAGTGGGTGTATCACGCTTGCAGTGGGCATGACTTGCAGGCAGTGGCATGTCACGCTCACATGCATGCATGAGAGCACAACACACACACACAGGCACAACATGCCCACCGCATGAGCATGGGGGTGCCTCCAATCCCCACCCCCCCGCTCATAGAGCTCAGTCCCCCCAGCCGGTCCGCAGCCCCAAAAAGGTTGGGGATCACTGCAATAGAAGATATTCCCCATTACTAATGTACAAATAAGTTTCAATGCTAGTCTTATTGTCGAATGGGAGGAAGTATCTGTAGCATTCACCCTGCTCATTAATATTTATATTGAAGTTTGCATGTACCAATAGAAGTTGGTGCATGCAAATTTCCTTAATTAAAGGAAAGGGAAAAGGAAAGAGGGAGAGGAGAGTAGACGGTTGAGAATGGAGAAAGAAGGTTGTTGAGAGTTAATGACATTGACTGGACTTTTCATCACTTGTAACATTAAACAATACTTGGTTCTTAAATGATACATTGCCTGGACCCCTTTCATTAACAGTGAACAAAATTGATGTAATCAGCTGGTGGCAGCTGAACAACACGTAGTGTGTGCCTTCGCTTGGTGAAATGACCAAGGGCTACCTGCTAACAACTTAAAACATCTTGGGCTATTACTATCACATCGATACAATAGTATGAGGCAGAAGGATAAGAAGTGGAAGAATGTCATTCCAGACCTTCTAGATTTATGGCTTAGAACTGAAAGTATATGCCTTTATTGGGAGGCAGAAGTCATGAACCCACTGCAAAAAAAGTATGTCTTGATGCATTCCCCTACACTTCTGCCGCCTTATAAAGGTGGTTGCCTATCCATCCCTCTTCCAAAGCTTCATTGGGCCCTTCTGCTTACCGTTGGTGTCTCCCTGAAATAAAACCCTCAAGACTCATGTATGAAAAGGTCAATAGCAAAATTCCTC